AAACCCAAGGTGGGAGACGCAAGCCGAGGGCATGGAGTCAGTCCAGCTAGGATATGACTGCAGCACATTCCCAGCGTGGGATAAGGTAGCAGGCTTTGAGTGACTGGGATCAAAGCGTGACCGCCTTTCTCCCAGGGACAAGGGACCGCGGCTTGTTTTGCCTGGGCGCAATTAAAGCCTGCCTGGGGTCAGCCAGGTTGACCCGTCCCTGTCACATGAAGCCCGTGGCTTCTCCCCTGTGGGGAGCGGCCTTCTGATCCGGTTAAGTAAGGTGATACCGGCTTTCCCAGGTAGAGCACCCCGAGTTTCACAGAAACTGACTCTTGCCCCGGCTCTTGCCATCGTCAACCCAGTCAGTCACGACCACGGTCGTCTTGCCGTACATAATGCCATCATGAAACAGATTTTGTAATGAATTCATCTTGGTCTCATTTCTCATTTCCATATCATACATGGACTGACTAACTGAGGCTTGCAACTCTGATTTAAACGATGCAATTAAATCCGAGATAGCAGAAATGTCCAAATGGGATGCATCCGATTTAGATCTAAGATCTAGATTTGGATTTTGATTCAGATCTCTGTGAAGATGGCGGGGATCCCGAAGCGGATTTTTTACTTTTGCTAGCCTCCGACGGCGGGGAGCATTTACGTTTCTTAGTCTGAGATCTTGCAGAATCCATACTTAACCACTCAACCTCTGATAACTCTGAACACAGAAGGCAGCGATCTTGCAGGGTACAATGATTACCAGTAAAACAAGAAATGCAGAGAGATGGGGGTCTAAATCCGACATGAACTTCTGACATTACTGCGCACTTATTCTTAGCCATAGCTTAAAGTTTAGACAAAAGAAAAGGGCGGGAAAATATATATCAAGTACAAGCGTAAAAATAATATAAAATACGATGTCCAAAGGACTAATGTCGACAACACTAACCTATATAGGGATGGATCAGTGTAGAAAACAAGCTGATAAAGTCAATTTCTCACTCCACTCTATACACGTGTACAGTGTATACCATACAGAAAATTTGTGAGGATTTTCAAACTACTATACAGTGACATCTAGGTCAGGGGGAGGTAACTCTGTCAGTTGGAAGGGCATACCACAAGGGCATACCACAAGGGATAGCTATGACTTAGTGTTAAAATTTTCACTTCATTCTGTATGTGTCTGTGGAAACCACAGAATAAGGCAACCATAATCCAGAGGGAATGTTTACGCCTCAATTAGAATTAACTTGTCCCTTCAGGGTTCACTGATTTTACAAGCATCATCAACAGATTTTCTGAATTTTCCAAGGAACCACTCTATCCTGAGGACACTAAAACCAACCAAAATATAATTAGTAAGTTTTTTTGCGAAAGAAATATCAAAAACCCTGATCACTGATATCAGAAATGCCTTAAATCGACTTCATTTTATTCACGATTTGTAAAACTTAAAAATTAGACAAGCAAGTGCTTGGAGGGATCTCCTGACAACTGATTATACCGCTCACTGGTGCAACCAAACCTTAGCTACATTTTCTACAGCCACTCAGAGACAATATTGATTTGAAAGCAGCTTCAAGGAAACACACTAGAGGTACGAGGAGAATAAACCATGACACTCTGAAGCTACATGATTTCACAGTGTCAAGCGTGGATCGTTTGTACGGCTTGACATTTTTACTTATGTGGTATTTTCACATCAACATAAAAACAACACATGAAAGATACAGTGACATTCTACCTTATCACCTCCTATTAAAAATGTCATTATATGGCCATAATGTATGCTACTAAAAAGAATGCTTGATTTTGTTATTCAAATGTTATGTTTTATAGTTAATCTGACATGGCTGATGGGTATTGTAACATACAGCTTTCCAATGATGGAAGTTCTGTATCTTGTTTTGAAAGGTTTGTCTGTTGTTTAATGCAGCACTCAGTAATTGTCCAGCTATATGGTGGCACTCAAATAATCAAGAATGGACCAGACAATCCAGTGATCGACATTAAACAAATTATCAATCGACACAGTTGTGATGGCATGCATCAACCACAATTGGTTGGTTGGTTTAACGTCGCACTCAGCAATATTCCAGCTATATGGTGGCAGTCTGTAAATATAATTGAGTCTGGACCAGACAATCCAGTGATCAACAGTATGAGCATTAACTATGCAGTTGGGATATGATGACATGTGTCAACCAAGTCAGCGAGCCTGACCACCTGATCCTGTTAAGTCGCTTCTTATCAGAAGCTTTGGATTGGTAAACGTGTTTCACAAACCAAATAAACGACATAACTATTACAACCTCTTAATATTCCAAATATTGCAAAATTTGCATTGCTCCAATTCCCCCAAAACTTCTAGAACTTGTCGAAAGAGGCGACTAACGGGATTGGGTAGTCAGGCTCACTGACTTGGTTGACACATGTCATCGGTTCCCAATTGCGCAGATCGATGCTCATGCTGTTGATCACTGGATTGTCTGGTGCAACCTCGATTATTTACAGATCGCCGCCATGTAGCTGGAATATTACTGAGTGCAGCGTAAAACTAAACTCACTCGCTCAATCACCCTCAGATCTCTATTTTGAGATATATAAATATTACAAATATTAACATTGTAAATCAAATCACTCGATTCAAAATGGTAAAATTATCACCTAAATAATTTTCAATGAAAATGACAACATAATTCTAGAATAAAACGATAAAATAATGTGCCGACAATAACACTTCTACCTCATAACCTTTATGAATTAATTAATACAAAACTGAAACATAAAACAGAAAAAACAATAATCTATTTTCTCAAAAAGCAAAGCCTCTACATATAAAACAGGCAGAAAATATTTCCACACACCCAAAAGCTTAAAGTCTTAAATAACCCTTTGTTTCGCTCTACTTGGGGTTAGTTAATAAATGTAAAACTTTCTTGTTTGCCCTCAAGGGAAACATGAAATGCATTCTGATTGTACAGGCAACAATATCCTTGACAAAGCACTTAAAGTTCATTGGACGGTGAAATAAACGCCTTCTGTTTCCAGCGGGAGTATAAACACATCAGGAAATACATCTCACTCTGTAATAGAATGTCACCTAGCAGTGTCTTGGCACAGAACAGGCAATAAACTCTTACTGTCCATTCATAGACATTTATTTTAGAAAAGTTATGTAAATGTTAATTTGTGTGCTGAATTGTTAGTTACTTGAAAATAAGAGTGAGTGAGTATGGTTTTACGCCACTTTTAGCAAAATTCCAGCAATATCACAGCAGGGGATGCCAGAAATGGGCTTCACACATTGTACCCATATGGGGAATTGAACCCAGGTCTTCAGCATGATGAGCAAACGCTTTAACCACTAGGCTACCACACTGCCCCTATTTTCGAAAATAAAAAAAGATAGAGGAGAATTAACTGTGTTGGGCGCATTTGACTGATTAGTTTCAATACAATTATCTTGTGTATTTAAAGTGTGTGTTGTGTAGCCTAGTGGTTGAAGCATTCGCTTGCCAAGTCGAAGTTCCGGGTTCGATTCCCCACATGGGTGCAATGTGTAAAGCCCATTTCTGGTGTCCCCCACTGTGATATTGCTGGAATATTGTAAACTTAAACTCACTCATTAAAGTGTATGTGAGTGAGTTTAATTATAAGCCTTTTTTCACAATAATGCATCATGTTTGGAGACACCATTAATAGGCTTTACACATTGCTCCCCCATGTGGAGAATCGAACTAGGATCTTTCGGCTGGATGAGTGAACGCTTTAACCAGTAGGCTACCTCACTGCGCTGTGTATCTAAACATCAAAGGATAGATGATAAAAGGCGTATACTGGATCACTGAAATTGATGAAAAGGCATGGTAAGGGCCCTGTTGGCTTATTGGAAACTTATATTTATCAAAAAATATGTAATAATGGTATGAAAATCATTCAACATGACCAAATGTCAAACAATTCCCTTTGCAAATCTTTAAATATCTGCCATGTTCAATTACTCACTATTGAAATGAAAGAGGATGATTTTTTAAAATTATTTTTCCAAATCTAAATATGTGCACGTTTATCTACGCAAGATGACTTTATAACCAAATATGTACATCTCCTATGAATATCATCTCTGGTCAAAGACTTTCAATTTGAATATGAGAAAAATGCTTCCTATAATCTCTAAAATCATCCTTTTCACATTTGGGCCCTATCTATGCCCTTAGTGCACCTCTAGTGCTGTCATCAATCCCAAAGATGCATTTGGTAAATTGAACATAGTCTATTTCACATTCATATGTACAAACCTGATAATTTTAGAATGTTTGTAAATGTTTTAGATTAAATCATGTATATCAGTCAGGCAGAACAGTGCCCTTAACCTACCTTGTCATTTTACATCATATGGCCATTAGTTTTTTACTCCAATTAACTAGTGAAAATCCAGAAAAAACAATTTTTTTCCCCAAAACATTAAGATTTAGTAAGTTTCGTTTGAATTTAACTTATAGTCTTTCTTTGAAAACATAATGAAAATATTGGATGAATGCCACAGGAATGTTTTCACATATCTCTTAATTTAGGTTTGACACAAACAGTAGTTGTACGTAGAAATGAGCATAAATAAAGCATAAATTTCAAACTATTTGAAAATATTTTACTACAAGAATGTTCTAATGACAAACCATGATGAATTTTTAATTTTCATTCATTTAAAGGAACACTTCCCTGCATTCATTTCATTTGCCAGGCTTGCACATATTATAGAAGTTCATTACAATATTTACTTTTATCTATACTAGCTGCTAACTAGTTGCAGGAAACTAGCATGTTTCACAAATGAAAACCTGAAAATGAGGGAACAGTGAATTTTAAGATATTTATGACAGGAAGTAACTTACCCGAACCAGTTGCATCTATCTGCCCATCTTAACTAAAATATATGTTTGATCTGTTCTTGGAAAAACTTTGGTGAGGAATGTCATGACATTTGTGAAAGGGAGGTAACTTACCCAAACCAGTTTGAGAGGACCGTAGTATCTGCCCATCTGAACTCCAAATATATGTTTGATCTGACTTGTGAATACATGGCACGCTGCACCTGTTGTGAAACCGCTAACGAGGGGATCGGACAGGTAAACTGTAACAAAACCCAGCCGACAGAGACCCATCAGCAGCTGAAAATATAAAAATCGTAAAAAATGAAAAGAGGTTTCAGTGTAAGTAAAGAACTTAACCATGAAAGTTAATCAGGGCACATATGCATACACATGGACGATGGCTTGTGTGTTTGGTTTCATTGCATTGAAGATACAAGGCTTTTAAATACTTTAAAAATCATTGGCAAAGACTAAATGCGAAAGGTTTAAAGCAGTTTTCATAGTAGTCTGGGTTTATTATGGCATGTCAACTTAGTGTGGGAGGATAGATTAACGGCACAATTTCACAGATTTTCAACAATATTTTGGCCTATATTATATACATGCACTCCCTTTTGCTTTCTATTGATGCAATAAAAGACTTATTATCCCTTACGACTTGCCTGAAATTGATAATTGAAACTTAGGGGCGAACAACTTCCAAACAGAGAACACTTGCCATATAAGGAATGTAAACAATTGCTCGCACGTGGTGTTGTCGGTGTTTAATGAACTGGTTTCAATCACAATTTGCACGTATGTTTTGTCTAGGACTGACTCCTGTGTCCAAAGGAGTTATAAGATATTCGTAAAGAGTGCTCCAAGGGACTCTGTGGGTAACACTTGAAATAATGTTCGGTTGGTAGAGGGCATGAGAGTCGATTTAATGCAACATTGCATTTATTCATTCAAACCTTTCAATTTAATATTGTAATCTAAACACGTAATTTTTTTGGGGGGGGTCTGATAGTTAGTATTATTGAGAGAAATGTATTATTTATTTTTAGAGAAGTGTAGTGTGATATAGTGCCTTTAAAGGGATGCAGGTCTCAGACATTTACACCTTTGGTAAAACCTACAAGAACAGGTATGGCATTGGCACACCTTGAAACATTATGGAACGAATATGGATTTGAACCAAAATCATAGCTAATTAAGGTCCCTTAGACCACTGGGCTACCTATGTCCTAGACTAACACTTAGTCTCTGTAATTTTGATAGTAACAAATAAATCCATTTCAACTAAAAAAGGAGCCCCAGTCAGATCGGAAATTCAGAGCCTGAGGATATTTAGACTTACTTCTTATAAGGCTTTAGCATTGCAGGGAGGGAAAATAATGTGGTTCAGGGGACTGTGAGACAGACTACCCATGTCCCTGACTGGCAGAGAAAGATTAACTGGATTATCGCATAAACGCAAAAATAAATGTTCAGGAGCTTAACCCATGAAGATCTGGGTTAGAATTGATCTTCAGTAACCCATGCTTGTCGTAAGAGGCGACTAACGGGATCGGGTGGTCAGGCTCACTGACCTGGTTTACACATGTCATCGTATCCCAGATCGACGCTCATGCTGTTGATCACTAAATTGTCTGGTCCAGACTTGATTATTTACAGACCGGTGCCATATAGCTGGAATATTGCAGAGTGCGGCGTAAAATTAAACTCACTCACTCAGTAGCTTAAACAATGGATTCCATATCAAGTTCATTCAGTTAATGTTTATAATAGGCATCTTGTATCATGTATTTATACCAGTAAATAACTTTTGGAAAATCTCATGATGCAAATTATATATAGAAAATAGAAGTTAGTAAAGTTTCTTGCAAACCATGACTATAACCTTCTAGCGCCTAACAGGTAACTTAGGTTATCCGGGGTAAGAATATTCAGGTTCTGATTAAGGGCCGCGAGGAATCACTTGGTGTTTGGAGACTGTGCGCTATATAAGATGACTCATTATTATTATTATCTTTCTGAGACAGGTTTCACTTACTTGAATGCATCCGATGCCAAATGTCACCGCCATGGCAATTTTGAGTTTGGTGCTGAGAATAAGAGCATCCATCTCAGCGTCTCCACCAGTGTTGGTGCCATTGGTGCCGTTGCCGAAGGTCAGGTTGCCATCAGACAAGTTAAACAGCATTGGCGCTAATGTTGTGACATCCTTTTTGGTTGATGCTTCTAACTGATCACTGGTGAAGCCTTTAGATGTCATGGCCTTGTCCACAACAGACCCCACCATTAAACTCACTACCGCAAATGTTCCTGGAAGACAAGAAGTTTGGAGAATTTTAGTCTGAAAGTTCATCAAATTTTTATTCTGCTTACACAGCATCCTTCTGCTGAAATGAAGTCTTCAACATGATGGGAATAATTATGTAACAACTAGTTTCCGACTGAGTGAGTGAGTTTAGTTTTACGCCGCACTCAGCAATATTCCAGCTTTATGGCGGCGGTCCGTAGATAATCGAGTCTGGACCAGACAATCCAGTGATCAACAGCATGAGCATCGATCTGCGCAATTGGGAACCGATGACATGTGTCAACCAAGTCAGTGAGCCTGACTACCCGATCACGTTAGTCGCCTCTTACGACAAGCATGGGTTACTGAAGATCAATATTCTAACCTGGATCTTCACGGGTCCGAATGAAAGAAAAAAAAAGCTATATCTAACAGTTAACTAAAGTTATATTTAGGATAACACTTTGTTAGTTTATACAAATTCTATAAATTTTGGGGTTGAGTCCCATCCAGGACATGAACCACCCAGGCATCGTATCACAGAAGGTCAGCAATCTAACCCACACAATAATGGAAGTATAGAAACATGTAGTCTAAAGCGTTATCCAAATATAACATTTGTTACATCTGACCACTTTTTGAAAGGCATTGTGTATTCACATAACATTCAAAATTGCAAAATCTTACTCGTCTGACACCACTGTGTTGAAGTGGAAGGAGGCTATAAATACTTCAACTTCAACTGCAAAATGATGACTAAATACAGAATATGCAGGGACAGGAATACTTCATCATGATAATCGAAATTTGACACTGGTGTTCGACAGTATGTATTGTTAGAACCTAAAGGGTTATGCAAAATGTTCTTTATGTTTGCTTGTATAGGATTTGAGAGAGTGAGCTAAATTTAACGCCATCTTTAACTGAATTTTAGTTATAGATCAGGGCAACAATCATCAGCTTGATGTTGGAGAAATGTGATCCAGGCGTTTCACTTTGGTAAAACTTGTGAGCAATGATCTGGTGCTGACAACCTAATCAGGGTAAGCTGTGATTCAGATACAGGACCACAGGTTTCTGGCCGGGCCATTTGACAATTTGGGCACCATAGTCTATGAATGTTAATGTACAGTTACAGTAACGATACCCTAGCTCCTGCTCATGCTTTAGTTTGATGTGGCAACAATGCCATAATCTCATCTGTCTCACAGACATTTGACAATTTGTTAAGAATAACTGGGCAAGTTTAGATTGCTTCAGTTCTAGGATATTGCTCCTATTGGATTATATATAATTCTTTTTTGTAGATATATATATATATTTTCAAAAAAACAATAATTGGAACAAAATCTACAACACAGAATAAGACTTACCTATAGATATATGTTTCGATGTACCGAAAAAGAAGTAGATGAACACTGGGAAGAAGGAGACGTATAGACCGAAGACTGGCGGTAACGTTGACAGTTGGCCGTACGCCATGCCTGAAAGAACAATTGAGTCGGTGTCATCACAGGTATACAAAATAATAATATTGACAACAACAGCATAGGAAGGGGTTGATGTACCGAGATTTGTAAACAACGTCTATTACACCTAGGAAGTGAGTGAGTGAGTGAGTATGGTTGTACATCCCTTTTAGCAATATTCCAGCAAAATCCCAGCAGGGGACATACAACTTCACCCGGGCTTCACACATTGTACCCACATGTGGGGAATCAAACCCAGGTTTTCAGCGTGATGAGCAGACGCTTTAACCATTATCCTACCACACCTGGGAAGTAAGCAGGAATAAACATTATAGACATTTGTATCTTAGAGAATACAAAAATACAAAGATCCAGGGTCATGTTGTCCCGGTTACAACAGGGAAGCAAGCAGCAAAAAATTCATTAATTTTTTTTTTCAAAGAATATTTTCACTTCTTTTTTTATAGACACATGTTTAATATTTACAAAAAAAATAATGTCTGCATGGTTAACAAATGTTGGCATCTACAGGCTGCTATCTAACCAAGGATAAAAAACATAAATAGGATTCAAAGCAGCAAACTGGCTCCACTGCTAATATTCAAGGTAAGGATTGCGCTATTAGCCAACAGGCAGTCCGTAAAAAGAGCTACAAATCTATACAATATCCAGTTATAGCCATGCAGGCATACCATCCAGAGGGTTTATTACCAACAAAAGCAAATAAACATGGAGATATGCATTCCCTTCGAAAGTTTGTTTATGCTCAAATAATTACAACAAACTGCTCTGCTACTTTTAATTTTGTCAAGAGCACATTGAATTCACAAACTTCCCATTCTCCAAATTTGTTGTCATTTGACGCCATTAGGACCAATGAATGCAATGGTTAGTGTCGTCCAATCACAGCCTAGTTTAGTTAGACAGGGGCCCAGTCAACAGCAGACCCTGACATGGCTTGGGGACATAACTCTATATAGAAGCCTGCATCCCCTGAGAGGTTAGGATGTAGCTATGTATTGTACTAAATCTACCACTACCTGTACATGATGTAAGATCATTTTCAAAGTCATTTTCTTATTCCATTGCTTCTCTGTACCTATATCACACAATTAGAGAGAGTGAGTGAGTGAGTGAGTTAGAGGGTGAGAGAGTGAGTGAGTGAGTGAGTTAGTGGGTGAGTGAGTGAGTGAGTGAGTGAGTGAGTGAGTGAGTGAGTGGTGTGAGTGAGTGAGTGAGTGAGTGAGTGAGTGAGGTTTCAATATTCCAACATCATATTCCAACGATTTAACCTCTAGGCTAACCCACCACCCCTCAAACAATAAGAATTCTCTTGAATATATTGAAATTCTCTAACTTTACAAGGGAATTATGAAAACAACTTCAATGGAATAACGTTGTCACAAGTAACATGTCATCTGTATGACATTTGTGCTGTCGCCAATAAAAGTGAACAATTCCCATGTACATGATTCCATCTTCAGATGAAATCTGTCACTAACACTTCCCCATAAATGTCATGTTTCATGTTTCAGGCATTAAAACATTTAAAAAATCTTAATTCGCTAGAATAATATATTTCAGTTTTAAACCCAATGGGTGATTTGGAAACTGACAATTTAATAACTATCCTCATTAAAATATTTCACAGCAAGATCAATTTCTCATCAGTGGCAGTGAAAGAATTTATTGTAACTGTCGCTGAAAATAATGGTTTGGGGATTTATTACTTCTATACATTCCCTCCCTACATGACATCTTTCTGTATATAATGTTCCAAAGAAACAAGAAAACATGGACTGTCAAGGAAAGTATCAGACCTCTCAGCAATTATGCATAACATACAGATTAGATGTTGTTTGGGTGGACAGGGCTCCAGATAATGTTTCAACATCAGGAGTATGTACTCCTTATTTTTTTTTTATAGGAGTTCTGGAAAACATTTAGAGTACAGAATGGAATTTAATGGACTATCAGTAATCTTGTGTTTCTTTTCATATATGCACCACAACATTGCTACTCTTGTGTAAACAGGTAAAAAAACAATAAAACAATAATTTTTTAGATAAATACATCTGTAAATGATTCGAAGACCGTACACCATTGCTGTAGTCCGTATCTGCTACGTTTTCTAAATTATTTCCTACCGTATCGTGCATATTTTTGTAGCCATACATACGCTGATACGGCACTTATCTGAAGCCCTGGTGGAGTTGAAGGTGGAGCAGAGCACAACAGAGCAGAGCAAGTGAGAACAAGTGAGTTTATAGTTTTGGGGACATAAGAAATTTACACATTGTAATATTCCAACAATAAGCTCACAGTGGGGAACATAAGACTTGCTTTATGGGCTTCACACTGCAGAGAGGGGCTAGTAGTGATGTTAATGGGTTCAGGGACTCGATTTAATTGTATGTAGGCTACCCCCACCACCCCATATTTTACAGAAAAACAGATCCTAAATTATCTTAATAAAATATACTCATGCCAATAATGGTTGTCACCACCTTCAATTATTTTTATTGGAGAGGGGTGTGGGGTTGGGGTGGGGAGGGGGCTGACAACCATTATTGGCATGAGTATATAAACAAATTCTAGAAACTTTCTTCTTCGTTTTCAGTCCAGAAACTGCTGTAATCTACACTTGTCACCATCCCAGAGCTGAGCAAATACAACGCTTGTTTAGAAGTTTATATGCAGAAACAGATTTTTTTGCAATTGTGTCTCTGCACACTCATAAAGATGTCAAATGTGCCCTTTGATATTGAAGTGTGCCAATATAAGAACAATTTTAATCCATCATCAAACTTCATGAATGTCATTTTAGCAAGGTCTAGAATAACAAGAAGATAACATGTTGACAGAACATTCTTCCTTTTCATCAAGGTCGATAATACCACTTTTCATTTCTGAATACTCCAGTGTAATTTTGAACCATGAAATATCTAATTTGGGGCACTGAATTATCTGATTATGAACATTGAAATATCTGGCAGTTACCTTCTTCCTTTTTTTATTAACATTGATAATATCATTTTTCATTTCTAAATACCCCAAAGTAATTTTAAACCATGAAACATCTGATTTTGAGCCTTGAACAATAATATTTGGAACCATTAAATATCTTAATTTTGAACTCTGAAATATCTGATAAACAAACACAGATGCTGTTGACATTTACTATCGTTCCGGCAACTGCCATTTATGCATCTGAGCTGAAGTAATAAATTGTTTCAAAGTTATATAGCTTACTACACAGACAGTCTATTGTGCTAAACATTAACCCATCCTAACAGAACCCACACGTCACAAATACCTCACATCTTGCCCACGTTAGGACTTGTGACGTTAATATGTTTATGACCTCAAAGCGACTCGGAAATGCCAGACATAAGCCTGATTGAACTACACATCTAATTGAGACGGTACCTCATGGTTGTTTATGTATTCCTGGCTTAACCCTACACCATTTTATATTACAAAGAATGATGGCGTCAACTGGACCATTGTAAATGTCAGTTAGAGTTTGAAATGTGGATTTCATTAAGTATGTTAACGTTTAAGTTAATGAATACAGGCGTAATTCAAACACAGGAAATAATGTTGTTATGTGACCTAACACTGTCACATTCGGTCGATGATGAGATGCAGGTTCCTGCTCGTATTGAATTGTAGAATTTTTATGCCATCTTGTGGCGACGCTCTTGTACAGAAAGCAGATTGTTGATTGACAGTCTATCACTGGTGGTACGATAATAGTAGGGAAACGGTGGAGCAGGAGTAGGACAATAGTAGAGCAATAGTAGGACAATGGTGGGGCAATGATAGGACAATAATACAGCAATAGTGAGTGAGTGAGTTTAGTTTTACGCCGATTTCAGCAATATTCAAGCAATATCACGACAGGGGACACCAGAAATGGGCTTCACACATTGTGCCCATGTAGGGAATCGAACCGGGGTCTTCAGCGTGACGAGCGAACGCTTTAAACACTAGGCTACCCCCGCCACCCCGAGAAGAGCAATAGTAGGACAATAGTAGGGAAATAGTAGGACAATAGTAGGGAAATAGTAAGACAATAATACAAAAGTAGTAGGACAATAGTAGATTAATAGTAGGGAAATAGTAAGACAATAGTAAGGAAATAGTAGGACAAGAGTAGGTAAATAGTAGGACAATAGTACAAAAGTAGTAGGGCAATAGTATAGCCATAGTAGGGAAATAGCAGGACAATAGTAGGGAAATAGTAGGACAATAGTAGGACAATAGTAGGGAAATAGCAGGACAATAGTAGGGAAATAGGACAGTAGTAGGGAAATAGTAGGACAATAGGACAATAGTAGCAAAATAGTAGGACAATAGTAGGTAAATAGCAGGACAATAGTAGGGAAATAGTAGGACAATAGTAGCAAAATAACAGGACAATAGTAGGGAAATAGCAGGACAATAGTAGGGAAATAGTAGGACAATAGTAGGGAAATAGCAGGACAATAGTAGGGAAATAGTAGGACAATAGTAGGGAAATAGCAGGACAATAGTAGGATAATAGTAGAGGAGGAGTAGAACATGAGCAGAGGTAAAGTAGGACAAATATGAGAACTACAGTAGAAGAGCAGTATTTAGACCTTAGTAGAGCAATAGTGGCACACTAGTTTCCATTCACAGGAATGGTTGGTTGGGGTGTTGTTTAACGCCGCACTCAGCAATATTCCAGCTATATGGGGGCGGTCTGTAAATAATCGGGTCTAGACCAGAGAATACAGTGATCAACAGCATCGATCTATGTAATTGGGGAATGCGATGACATGTGTCAATCAAGCCAGTGAGTCTGACCACCCGATTCAGTCAGTCACCTCTTATGACAAGCATGGGTTGCTGAAGACCAATTCTAACCTTCTAATCTGAAAACCAATTCTAATCTTCACGGGTATTCACAGAAATGGAAAATAACACTTGTCTGTATGCCCAAGGTTACAAGAAATCACCTTGGTTGAAATGAAATGTCCACTATTCTCTAGTGTCTGTAACCTTTTAGACACATGATGTAACTAGTTTGACATTCTCTCAATTCCAATGTCATATGTCAACACTAAACATTCCATAAGATTCATTCAATAATGAAATTTGCAAGCCTTCTTATTTCATAATGATTCGTAACTTTTTGAACAGTTAGCACAAACATGAATTCCACCAGCCCTGTTGACCTTGTCAGCACTTACAGTTACTTTCATCCATCTATTGCTGTGCATCTAACAACAATATATACATAACAGCTTTGTGCCAGTGACATTTTCATGTTTATTATTCATACAGAAAGTGAGCATCACATCATGCAACAATACATTAAGATGCACTCTACGACTCGTGAAGGTCCGGGTTAGAATTGGTCTATCGCAACCCATGGTGGTTGTAACAGTCAGGCTCGCTGTCTTGGTTATTATGATTATTATTATTATATTATAGGATATTTATATAGCGCACATATCCACACACTAGTGTATGCTCAAGGCGCTGGTATTTTTTTCCCTCGAATCATTGGATGTCAATATCAACTGCACATCGTATTAGCAATCTCAACTCCCTGGGGTGTATACAACTCTTGCTGCCACTAGGCACACCGAGTTATTGTGGCTTTCTCATCCTTACGATGTTGACACAAGTCATTGTATCCCAGCTGCGTAGATCGATGCTCATGCTGTTGATCACTGGATTGTGTGGTCCAGACTCAATCATTAACAGACCGCCGCCATGTAGCTGGAATATTGCTGAGTGCGGCGTTAAACAACAAACAAACAAAAAATAGAATGTACAATTTGTTTTAAAGAGATAGGTAGTGTTTTATAAAATATATAAATCAGCCTACATCGGATGGTCTACAAACTCAAAGTTTTAAACTTTTAGTTTGATCTGATGCTTGAATTCTTTTTATCTATCCAAAATATGGATGGTCAGATGTATAAATTTATTTCACAACTATTGTCAATCTCGGTTATAAATCTTTCACAATGAAGTATGTTCTTGTGACTACCAAATCAATGTCACTATATGAGTTTAGCTGTATCAAACTTTAGAGACATTTCCTCTGGTGAGTGGATGTATGTCTCAGACGTAACAGCTAAATTTGAACAAAATACATTAAAACTAAAAGATATAGATGGTCAAAGAGCGTAAAGTTCATGCTTTAAATTGTCCTTTCATTGTCGACCTTCGGTGTTGATTGGACATAAAATAAGACAATATTGCAGTACAGTTGTTACCAAGGTATTAGCAACAGTGTAACAACATCTTGAATAGAGGAGGAAGAAATATATATTCCAAAACAGTACTTTAATGCGTAAAAAGTTCATTCAAGGGAAAAATATAAATGGAAAATGTTCCAATTACAGACACCAATCTCTTGTTGCTGTCAGAAAGGTTCAAGAATACGACAGTTTTATACATTCCAAATATAGATGCATTAATTTATTAATGACAGATGCTCATATTCCATTCAGACCATTTCTTCTGACAATTCATGTCCAACCACCTTACAACATTATATGTACGGCTGATGGTGTGTCGAGTGATGTGTACTCAGGTAAATTGAAACGAACACCTGTGACAAGCAACAGCACCTGAATCTCCTGATGACTATTATATCTGGCTTCCATCACCGTCAAGCTTCCATATCGCTCGCCTTCCAGGTTATCTAATGTTTCACCTCGACTCAGACGTAACAGAGTGACATTTTCTTTGCAAAACCGCTATATTGTGAAACAATGCTGCCATTTTCTTCATAAGCAAACCTTACTTTCATCAAAAGCTTTTTTCAAATAAAAATCAGCCAACCCTATTTTAATGTAATATTGTTTTTAATAAAATCAGGATTTAATGTCTTATTTAAAAAAATTATTATCAAATCAATATTTTCTTTTCAGTTATATTTCTATCACAGATGGTTTTTTTTAACAAAGTGGTTAAAAAACACATTTTCAATTTTGATCAAGAAGAAAAGATAACATCACCAAACTGCTACCAATATTTCTTTTTTTTCTCGGAACCTTCCATTTAAGTTTCAGTGAAAGTAGATTTTACATGCTGCATGACGTTTTTAAGACAAGAGGGCTATCCTTTGAAAATGCTTCATGTTTTGGTGTTCAATGAAAGATCCTTACACTTTCCATGAAATAAAGCACAATATTAGAAGGTAATTGGTTTGTGGAGATACTGCAACACCGTTCCGACTGCCTTAATGAACAAAGTTGACATGGCACCAAATTCTGACAAGTCTTTGAAGAACATGAAAGAATTTTAAGGCTGTAATACATTAATTATTCAATTTCCATCCTCACTACCAAGTACCTCATGTCAAATTATGTTTTCTCCCTTTTTTTTAACACAGATGCCTTGAAAAGTTTGTTTATAAAAAACCTGCCTCCGTGGTGTAGTGGTTAGAGCGTCCGCCCAGAGAGCCGGAGGTCATGGGTTCGATCCACGTCCACGTCATACCAAAAGTTGTTTAATATGGTAAAATATGGAGGTGGTGGGGTAGCTTAGTGGTATTTCACGCCGAGGACCTGGGTTCAGTTCCTCACATGGGTACAAATTGTGAAGCCCATTTCTGATGTCCGCTGCTGTGATATTACTGTAATATTGCTAAAAGCGTCATAAAACCCAACTCACTCACATTGACCCAGTTGATATATGTCATTGGAGCAACATGTAAATTCCGTCTGCAAATCTGCTCACTTCCAGATCAGATATATCAGCCAAATAAGGCATTATATTGACCCCTCAGTCGCAGAAGTCCTTGTTAATATCTCGGCTAGACTACTGCAATAGCCTGTTGTACGGGATCCAATAAAACCAGCTTGACAAGTTACAGCGCGTCCAGAATGCTGCACCCAGGCTTTTGACATGTGTCAAAATATGAACACATAACACCAGTTCAAAGGAGGCTCCATTGGCTACCTATCAAGCAACGGATCAATTACAAGCTCCAGACCTTTGTCTTCAGGTCACTGCAACAAACGGCTCCAGTTTATCTGCAAACTCAAATTGCTTTGCACGTCCCCAAAAGATGTCTCCGTTAAGCTCATCTTATGCAGCTTGATGTTCCCAAAACAGCAAAAACATTTGGTGATAGAGCTTTTGAGAAAGCAGGGCCAGTTCTGTGGAACTCCCTCCCTCTGGACATTAGGAACAGTACCACATTCAGATCCTTCCAGAAAAACTCCAAACGCATCTCTTTGCAAAAGCCTACCAGTGAGAGTGTGAGTGAGTGACTTTGGTTTTACGCCGCTTTTAGCAATATTCCAGCAATATCACGGCGGGGGACACCAGAAATGGGCTTAACACATTGTACCCATGTGGGGAATCGAACCTGGGTCTTCGGCGTGACGAGCGAACGCCTTAACCACTAGGCTACCCCACCGCCCCTAAAGCCTACCAGTGATCTTGGAAAGGGCGCTATACAAATGACTAGTTTTATTATTATCATTATTATTGTTTCCAAACTACATAGATCGATGCTCACGACGTCAATCATTGCAAAATATGTTCAGAGATGTTAGTCTAGGATTGGTTTGGTTGTTGTGTAATGCCAAAACTTGCAGCTATATGACGGCGGTCTGTAAATAATCAAGTCCAGACAATCCAGTGATCAACAGCATGAGCATCGTGCAATTGGGATATGATAACATGTGTCAACCAAGTCAGCGAGCCTGACCACCCGATCCCGATAGTCGCTTATTACGACAAGCATGGGTTGCTGAAGACCAATTCTAACCCGGGTCTTCGTGGGTTGATAGTCTATGAACACTGACCTTGGGGTATGTGCATAATTCCAACTGTGAGTCCAGCGATGATGTCGGCCTACGAGGTCGTGGCGTATACTGTAGCCCCTCAAGATGCTCAGAAAGGGGAACAAGGAGGTGATGAATTTCCCTACACATTTCCCTGAGCACGACAACTTGTTCACTTTCTTCTTGGCCCACGTGTGAGGTAAAGTCACTGGCCGCTTCCCGCTCTCGAATCCTTTGTCGAATTGCACCTGGTTGTAGATGGGCCTCTCCACAACCATCCTTTCCTCTCCAATCAAGGAGTGACTGAGTTCGTCTTCCTGGCCTATCATCTTTTTCTTGCCACCTGGAACATAAAATTGTATCTATGAACATACAGAAAATAGGGTTCGAGTGAGTGAGTGAGTGAGTTGATTGGTAAGAGTGAATATATGTTTGGGTGGATTGGTTGGTGAGAGAGAGAGAAAGGGAGTGAGTGAGTGGGTGAGTGAGTAAGTGACTGAGTGAGTGAGTTGATTGGTAAGAGTGAATATATGTGTGGGTGGATTGGTTGGTGAGTGAGAGAGAGAAAGGGAGTGAGTGAGTGGGTGGATTAGTCAGTGAGTGAATATATGTGTGGGTTGGTTGGTGAGTGAGTGAGTGTGAGTGAATATATGTGTGGGTGGGTTGGTTGGTGAGAGAGAAAAAGAACGTGAGTGAGTCAGAGTGGTTTAAGTTCAATACTGCTTTGAACAGTGTTCCCCATTCATATCACAAAGTATCAGCTTAATATGGGAAGAAAGTCCAAAGTGATACAAGTCTCGGACATTTACAACCTTGGTGAAAAACATGGCGCCGACAACCCTAGAACCATAATCATGGGAAACCAGGAATCGAACCCACCATCATTGTGTACTGTGGCATCTTAGACTGACTGACTGACCCACTGATGTTTTATGCCGCTTTTAGCAATATTCCAGCAACATCACGCTAGGGGGACACCAGAAATGGGCTTCACATTGTACCCATCTGGGGATTCGAACCCGGGTCTTCGGCGTGACGAGCCAACCCTTTAACCATTAGGCTACCCCACAGCCCCTGTGGCACCTTAGACAACAGGGTTTGAAGTAAAGGATTGAAGTAAAAAGTACTTGTAATCTCCCTAAAATTGAAATTTGAATTCCTAAGGGGCCCATAGATTCATATGCTACAGCACCAAACTTCAAGCACCCCAAACCATATTTCAACTTTCAACACTGGGAAACTGTACCATAAAAACAGGGCCTCAGCCAGATTCACAGACATCACAACCAAAACCATGCAACTTGGCAGGTCAGACTAGGTAAATAACCGGTGGACAAAATCCCAATTATTTTAATGTTTGTATTATAAAGGTTCTACTGTTGAGAACGAGTTCTAAACTACATCAATACACCTATTTAAAACAACACTGCTACTATCAGCATTATTGATTATACATTACTTGAGGTGTTCTCTTTGTGGAGGTAAAATACTGACAGTGTTTACAATAAAACAGTAAATACAAATCTGCTCATATTTCTGTTATAATCAGCATTTCAAACATTTTCCAAAAACAGTTTTGGAATTGCTGTTTAAGTCTTGTTTCATGTCCATGATTTTCTTGAGCGATAAAAGGAGCTCTTACGAAGAAACCTTTTATTCTGCTATCTGAAAAAAACTGCTAATAGAACCTCAAAGGAAATAATAATTTACAAAAAACATGCTAGAATCTAAATATAATCACAATGATGGCTTAGAAATACCTGCTTTGTAACACACCCCAAAAAAACCATTCCAAGTTTTTCTCCAAATGTCTTGCACCTCTGCAGTAAATATTCAGAAATCAAATCTGAATCTCTATTTATCTGCAGGCATCCTCCCCTAATCACAGGAGCATGGGGTCTAACCTGCCCCTCCTTATACACAAGAATAGCACACAACCTGAAAATAAACTTTCTAATTAACAAATTTCCCGTCACCTTCGACAAACAATGTAAGCTGTACACATGGAAAAGTTTATTTCAGCTAATCTTCCGTGTTCCAACCTCTGCTTATCGTCCTCCATGTGGAGATAATTCAGGAAGCTGGGGAGGAAGTGGAAGAAGAGGAGCCCTATTAGAGGAAGTGAACCTGTACATATTTCCTAATTAACCACTAATGTATTGCATCTACAGATTGAGATGAGATCGTAATTCATTTACATAATTGCTGGCTTGCCTCCAACGTTAAAATGACTCTTGATTCAGGCCCAGTGAAATCTGTAATAACCATTTTCATGTTATATGGCAGATTCCAGATGGCAGGTTTATTGTTTAAGTGGAAAAATGTATTCAAAAACTAAAATGTGTCATTATGGTCTAACGCACTGAGAAATGGTACATTTTTAATTTTTTAAAATTGGGGTAAAAAAAATTTAAATACTTTTTTGTTTTGTTTTTATAATAGCTTTTATGCAAGAGTGACTTATAAAGGGAAGTAACTTGGAATGTATCAGTTTTTCTTTCGATTTTTATTTTGCAGTGAAAGCATAAAACTTAATATTGTATTCTTGTATAATTTTGAGATTTCTTATATCTAGTATACATTATTATCAAATTTAAATAATCTCAGTACTTATTGATAACATTTTGAAAATTCTAACATTAATATTGAAAAGAATTTTTTTGTTATAGTCACAAAGTTTTAGCGAAAGTTTTGCAGACGTTTAAATAATACAACTGAATGAAAACAAGATAAATGCTGAAGTGACATAAGAATGAAAAACTGAAATAATTTATTTGCCCTTTGAATTGTGTTTCATAACTGCTGTGTTATTTGATGTGAAACAGTTTCGGAAGATGATCGGTAAATGGAACACTCATCAAAACACATTAACATTTAAATGTAGTTATTTGTCAAGGCATTTTATCTTAGTTTTGCAAGGGTAGTAAATGGCAGACAACATATATCATAGGAAAAACTATTTTCTACAGCAACTGAAATCTGAGATTAGGAAATATATTGCAAAATGTGACCTTAAGAAAACCTTGCATCGAATGATTAAGAAAATGGACAGGTTTAGTATGTTCTATGAATAAAGATTGTTCTGCCAGCAGTGTTGGGGTTCGAAATAACCTGATTGCATCACAAATAGATATGAGAGGTTATTTATCAACCCTGAAATAGCTACCGGTAGATATCTGGAAATAACACCCCCTCTCCTGACATTGACGCGAGCGAAACATACAACAGCTGCAATCGACATGTCAGGAAAGTTACATGAGCTGTGAAAACATTTATCACTACTGGCAAACAAATCACTGGTGTTAATTGCAAAGGAACATAATGACAAAAAAATTGAAATATTTAATCAATTTTATCAAAAATAAACCAAACTGTTTACCTTATACACTTCATATAAAAGAATTCAAAATGTTTAGATAGGAATATTTTGTGCAGATATCTACCGAGAATTGAGATTTAGTTTAATTGAATTTTTCAAATGTTTTATATCGGGATGAGATATGAGGTATAGGGCCCAAATGAATACGTTTTTCGGTTTTCAGGCCAATTTTGAAAATTTGAGACATTCTATTTTTCATACGTTTTTCGGATGATATACTGTTATGACATCTGTGTTGATAACTGCTATTGACAAGATTTCATGAAACATAAACGTTGGACTACAAAGAATTACAGTTCGTCAGGGGCTGTAAGGGTAGCCCAGTGCTTAAGGTGTTTGCACATCATGCCAAAGACCCGGGTTCGATTCCCGACATGGGTACAATATGTGAAGCCCATTTCTGGGGTCCCCCGCCGTGATGTTGCTGGAATATTGCTAAAAGTGGCCTATTTTACATATATCGATGCTCATGAGGTTGATCACTGGATTGTCTGGTCCAGACATGATTATTTACAGACCGCTGCCATGAAGCTGGAATATTGCTGAGTGGCGGCGCTAAGCAACAAACAAACCAAACAAACTGACTGTTGATAGTTTTCTCTGGGTAGTCAATAGTTTTTTAGGGGTGGTGGGGTAGCGTAGTGGTTAAAGTGTTCGCTCGTCACGCCAAAGACCCGGGTTCGATTCTCCACATGGGTACAATATGTGAAGTCCATTTCTGGTGTCCCCCGCCGTGATATAGCTGGAATATTGCTAAAAGCGGCGTAAAACTAAACTCACTCACTCAATAGTTTTTTACTCTCAACGGTCAGCCTACAGGGTTTGGTTATCTGGTAAAAAAATATATTGCTTACAATAGTTTCACTTCTAGGCTGTTTCAGTTCACTTCTAACTAAACATGTTTGTGAGCTGTCCCAAGTGAGTCTCATGTTGTATAAACTCTTTACAGTGATAAATGTCTCAGTTAAAATAAGAGATCTTGCACCTCTGTGCATCACTCTAGTGGGGTTCATGAATATGCAACACTTGCATCCAGTCAGGAAGGAAAAATCTGTGAAGACATTGGGGATGCAAGCTAATAAGGCAACATTGTATAATTACACGGTGATGTTATACTATTGGGTTATCAAATTATTCCGCGATTAAATGTACGCTAGGATCTCAAACATGAGTGTGTGTCGGTGATTTAGTTCACATAATTTACAAAAACAGGCTTATCGGGAGTCTTGGTGTAATTCATCAAGTATGGAATGATGGCGACACATGCAATCATTTTCTTCCTCCGTAAGTCCTTTGGGATAATGAATTAAAGTAAAGTGTGATGATGAAAATTTAAAGATTAACATTCTACGACCTTAACTATTGATTTTAGAATATTTATTTTGAATCCTTTAACTGAGGTAGCAGAAAGTCTACTGGGAGGAAATTCCAAAAATAAAATGATAAATTTATCATTATTCTTAAAAGGTTTTGGAATAAATGTGAAAAAATAAATGATTGATCGCGATTTGGGTAGTTTTAAATAAAATCATGTCCAGGACATCAACAACTGGTTTAAAACATTATCTATGGGAATAAAACAAGGGTGCTGTTGTACAAGGCGATCTTAGGGCTTCAAGGTGATCATATGTAACTCCCACACATTAACAAAGGCGTACGACAGTCGTAGGGCTGAGGTTGTTGAGTACAACTGCATCCATGTCCTTGACTTGATATCAAGTTCTTAAAACAAAGCAGTATCAGCAATTACAAAACTGAGAAAGGGCAGGCTTAGACCAGAACAATTTTATTTCTTGTTTACGGATCCGCCTGTCGTATTTTTTCAAGATTAAGAAAAAAAGTAAATAATTTTCTCCGCTCAAAAAATATAATCCTAATGTTTCATTGTCCAAAAATGTAAACTTACAAGAAATTATGATTAAATGGTATTTTGCCCCATATATACTTCATAAATTAAGTA